CAGTGAGGAGGAGGTAGTGAGCAGTCAATGCAGCAGAAGCTTGTGGGCTGCTCTGAGCATGTGTGGGGAAAAAGAAAATGGTGGGTGCATGCGCAATACTGTACCCAAAGGATGGCTGCTAAGGCACAGAAGTGGCCCCTGGGCTTCACGGGGAACTGGAAAATGGCACTGACAGCAGCCAGTTAAAGGGACATGCCCCATCCGAACTTTGCCCTTTCAGTGGGCATATCGCCAAAAGGGGTCCTTAGAGACAAGGCAGATGGATTATGGTCCTGGACCAGTATAGAACCCTGTGGCTACTCTGCACAGTGCACTAAAGGTCATTGTTATTGCCCCATGCAGGATCCAGTGCCCAGAGCACATTATAGGATGGCCTTCCTTCCTAACACTTCCTTCTGGTGGGGTCTGGGTAGGCTAAACAGTCTGCCAAGGATCAACCAAGAACAAAACTGATTCAGATAGTTGTTAAGAGGTTGCACAGAGGTTGTGAGCAACTTAGGGAGCTTTTAAGTTGAAAAAAAAAGCAGAAAAAGGATGTGCTTCTTTTATTCATGACCTACACTAGCAAAAATACTGAAGCAGGCTGGGAGTGGGAGGGGTTTTTTAGGGCTGTGCTTACATCTTTGATTTGCCAGTATCCAATCACCTAAAGGTGGCTGCATTACCCATTGGTTCCAGAATGAACTGCCCTGTGATGTATGATTAAGAGAAAAAGATGTTTGTACTTACTGTGAAATCTATGTCTTAAAGTCTAAATGTAGTAATTCTTGGACATAAGGGTTATACTACCAGCTTCAGGAGGTCTCTGGACTCTGGCAAACCAAAACTGTTTGTTCTTGTATAATCCTGCCTCCAACCATCATGCCTTAGATTTAGGGTTGCACAGATACCAAGTACAGTACTCGTTCCAAGTACGAGTACATGTACCGATACTTTTGAGCTCCAAGACTAGACTAGAGAAAAATTCAAAAATTAGGAGGAAGCTGTCATTTGTAAGGAGCACACGGAGCTCCTGGGATTTGTACATCTCTGTTTTAATGTACGATTTTGTTTTTATAAATATAAATAAAGGGATGCACAGATACCAGTTTTGCGAGTACGAGTACTAGTACTTGCCGAGTACTTACAAGTACGAGTACTGATACATTTTTGTTTATTGTCATGTGACAGTTTTTCTAAAACAATACAGACTAATGATTTCAGGACAGTGGTAGAGCGCCAGAGCCAGGTACCAGCTGCAACCGCTGCAACCCCGGTAGTTCTCATGAAAATGCCAAGTATCTGCACTGGTACTCGAAAAGTAACTGTGCATCCCTACTTAGATTTATGAGCAAACAGTACATAATGTCAAGAACACAGAGGGGTGGTGACCTATATTTTTCAATGGACTTCAGGAAAAACATTTTATGGTAATTACAAAAATCTAATTTTCTTTATTGTGCATGGAGGGACACAGGAATGTAGTAATTATAGAGTACATGGGACATCCAAAAGAAATACAACTGACACTGTTACAACACAAAGCTTTGTGTTCAGTCAAATTCTATATTACCATAAGCAAGCTGTGCTTACTTGCACATTATGGAAAAAGCCCAACCAGCACACAGCGGTTTACCACCGCTTTAAGAGGGGATACTTCCCTGGCTGTACAGTATAGTAGGGGTATATGGGGAAAGACAGAATTACAGATATTTATGCAGGTAAAAGAGTTCACATATACAGTATGTATTTTACTATGCATGAGGCCTTTTAGCTGGAGCTTATATTTAAACTGACACTAAACTCAGGAATTCAATTTTAAAAATGCATTCAAGTACCCTAACTATGAACACAAATGTATCTTATTTGTGTATCACTCGGCTGTAGATCCTCAAATCATCTCTGAATTCATGCTGACACTCTCCTTCCTTCTAGATGGTGGATACTTTTGTTCCCCATGGCCCCTGTGTGTGTTGTAAAGTAGCCACCGCTCCAAGCTCACTCCCAAGGGGGACTACATTCTCATGTTTAGTGTACTAATTTGTATTGAGACTGTAGTCCATCTCGGGAGTGAACTTGGAGTGGTAGCTACTTTATAACACACACAGGGACCATGGGCAATAAAGGTAGCCACCCCCCAGAACAAAGGTACAATGTCAGCATGAATTCAGAGATGATTTGAGGATCAACATCGTGATACACAAATAAACTAAATTTTTGTTAATAGTTGGGGTACTTTAATGTATTTAAGGTTTAACTCCTGAGTTTAGTGTCACTTTAATAACAGAGTAAATTTTTAGGTTTCTGTCCACAATACTAAGTGCTAGTGTCGACGGGCTTTCGGCTTGTGTTGATTGGCTAATTCAGCATGCTTTCGGGTGCATTCTGCATGCATTTAAGATCCATTGAGATGCTTATGACATCATTTTGAGTTCATCGTCAAGTGCGTTTGACTTATAGTTGGCCTCCTTCTAAGCTGCATCATCCTGCTTCAAGCGAATTATGTATTGACTTGCATAAGGAGAGGAACAGTTCTGATGTAAACAAAAGTCTAGTGACACAGGCCTTTAAGGTAACCTTTCCATTCATCATTTTATTAAAAATAATGTTTCCAGTTAGAGCTTGTGAAGTGCTTTCTAAAACACCCCTTCTTCCTTAAAAACCCATAAGTGAAAACCACCACATCTTCACAAAGCCATGTAACTTATATTGGAAGGGGAGAAGTTGACTGGTCAAGAATGAATGTTGAATGTGCAAGTATCTTAGAATCACAAACCAATGATGTAGGTAACGGCCCCTACGTAAATCCTCTGAAATCAGGGTGAAATCTGAGCAATGCGCACGTGTTTACCAGTGGGGACTTATTGACACCCTGGGAGCTCCTTCAAACTGACATGTTTAGACTAGAATGGCCAGAATCGAGCATAAGATAATCTGGTCTTAATGGATAGATGTGTAAAGATTTTTGGATTTGTACATATACACTACCATTCTTCCATCAACAATTCTGTAGGGATTCCATTTTCCCATAAATGTATGATGTATATACATAAAATTAGTACATTCATAATGTAATCTTTATTTCAAAGTACAAACACCCCAATAAAGCTGATTTGAAATACAAAATTGAATTATAATGTCTTCTGTCTTTCAGCTTTCCCCAGACAAATTATTTTTCCACAGTTATTTATTGTATATCTGTGTTTCATTTCAGGCACAGTATTCCATACTTACCATTTTACATACAGCGTCACTCTTTACTAAGCATCTATCTAATTTTGCTCACACATGCCAATATATTTATGATTCATAATGGCTCTTAATGTTCAGGTACATCACTGGATTGAACATTTTCAATAACCACTTTAAGTAAGAAATTAAATCCCCCTAATGCAAGATTTTAATGTTAATGAGTTCAGTAGTTGAATAGAATTAAATAATCGCTGTAATCAACTTGTTAATCATTTTGTATCTGCCCCTTACTTCTATTTTAAGCACGGAAATGTATATTCATGCATACTGTGAACTCCAGTGTGACAAGTTGTTATTTATTCCACAACCAATATTTTCTGTTAAAAAAATGTAAGAAAGCTTCTGAAATATACATTTCAGATATTCTATATTGAATTTAAAATATTCCTTTCACAACATTTTGAACCTTATTGCACAACTTTAAATCAGTAAATCAAGAATATTGTATGAGTCTGTAAGTTATATAGTCAGTGACTCATTACAAAGGTTTACTAGACATTAGAAATATTAACTTTACTCACTAATTTATAATTAATCAAATTTTTTATTTTGATGGACATTACATATATTAATTGCCTCCAATTTTTGGACTTGACTTATTTAATTAATTAAGTAAATGGTTTACTAAGTGTACAGTCGTACCCATACACAGATAAAGACTGTCAACCAATAGAAATAATTTTGATGTCTTTAAACAGCAATTCAATGGGGTGCTGCAGCAAAATGTTACAGATGACCTCAGGGTAAAAAAAAAAAAAGAATTCACACATGGAGAATGTTTTAATTTGATTCTCAGTTATGAACCAAGTGAGAGAGGCCAAGTTCACAGTCTAAAGCTTACTTGTATAAAATTATATGTATATAAAAGATGTGCATGTCAGGTTAAAAAAAATTTGTGAAAAACATCACTCGCAAAGTAAAGCCCTGGTGTCCTGGTTGCTGAAACAAACAGATTTGTAGAGCTAAAATAAAATTATACCCTTTAGTAAATCGCTTCCTCAGCATGGTAAACTTGCTTTTTATTAGGTTTATTTATTACACACGTGGTTATATTCAATAATGCATTGCACTGAGCAAGGCAGTTTACCCATAGCAACCAATCAGTATACATATTTTCATACTGGTCAGACTTTAGTTAAGTAAGTTCTGATTGGTTGTTATAGATTATGGCACTTTACTCTTTGTAATGTATTTTGAATAAGCCCATAAAAATATTTTTTCCTAAAGCTTTGCCAGGCCAATACCAATTAGGTTGAAAAGGTTTTTTTTTCCCCTAACCCATAATTGCCTTCACTTGAAACATGGGTTCACTGCTTTGGCAAACCTTTAGTAAACCCCACCTAACTGTAGAGTTACTCAATTCTGACATTGCATTAACTCATAATGTTTGAACCAGATTTGTCATTGTTGGTGTGCAATTTTTATTAACTAGGATTTATAATTTTTTTTGCTTTTTGTTCCTTTATAAAAAAAATGAGTACTTTACTAACAAGCATTTGTTTTAGCACAACAAAAAATGAAGTATAATTAGCTTATCCCACTTTGTAAATCAATTTGTATGCATGCCGATTCATACCAAACTTCTATTTATACAAAAAAATTGCAACAATACAGTTATCTTTTCCAGTCCTTTTTGCACAAAATTTATTTACAATGTTTACATAACTGTTCCATGATGGGACTATGGAAAAAAATGTACGCACGACTGATGCCTTGCTGAGAAATTAAGTCAATGTATTAAAAATAAATCTTCTACAGTTCTTGCTTTCTTTTTTTTTGAGCTGCATGAAAACAGGAAGTGATGCACAGATTGGTTGTCGCTGAATGGGGACACTGATGCTCCATTGTGACAATTATGCTCCAAACACATTGCCTTTTGGTTTCCATGCCTCCTCCTACCAGCCTCCTTAAGACACTGCCTGGCCTGCAACAGCTGATTAATCATTGTTAATGACTCCAGTTTTTCCCATCCTTCCCGATTTACATCTGTTCAGGCCAATTCAAATATGGTGAGTAAATGAATTAGACATGCAAATTCAAGCCCCAGGCTAGAGAGAAAGACGGAGACAGAGAAAGAAAAAAAATAGACAAAGCTGCAGAGAAAGAGCGCATGGCTGAAATCCTTGGATTGAAATTAAAAAAAGATATTTTGCCTGACATACTTATCATAATGTTCTAAAATGACCTGCAAATGAGGACTTTCAGTCGTCTGCAGGATAACTGTAAGGCTTTAAGTAAGGAGGCTTCTGGAGGAAGTGAAGAGCTATGGAAACAACACACATAGTGTGGAAAAATTTCACATTTTTTTTAAAAAAATCTATAAGAAACAACATAATATGGTTAACAGTATAATATCATTTACAATATTTCACTCTTTGTTCTCTTAATGTCTTATATATGTATTTATCGTGTCCCCAAAAAGTTGATTTTCAGCATCTGCATTTTTTTTTTATGTCAGCGTTCCCTATATCAAAGTATGTTCTTGTTTCTATGTGGACGCCAGGATTGGAACTCTGCTGTTGTGGCAAAAGGACAACACATAAAACTTTCCATTTCGGTATTTCAGACATTATTCCCTTAAATTACTGGGCATGGATGTCCATGACATGCCCGCTCATGGTGGGGTCTCCTGTATTTAGTACTGAGGGACTAGAGGCTGACATAGGCATTGCAGGGTGAGAGGGTCCCCCATGCATCATCATTGCTGGGTGGTGATGGTGTCCAGGAATGTAGGTATGCATAGACGGCCCATGGCGCAGCTGAGTGTGATGCAAGGGCATCTGCGGTGGAGGATAACCTGGCTGTCCCATACTCATACCCATTGGCCCACTCGGAGATATGTAATTCCCTGGCATACCTTGCAGTCCTAAGAAAAAGAGAAATGAGCATACAGCATTAACTGGCAGTGTGTTTATTTGTATCCGTAATAAACTAAATAAGAATTCATACAAAATTTTAAAAAATGATATGTAAGAATTACTTTCAATATTTAAAGAAAAACTTCAACTGGGACAAAAGTGCTTTTCTAATGTGAACTTCATAAGTGCAGTACTATAGCTTACAAATAATTTCCTAGCACCTGTACTGATTTAATCTCAGTAGCTTCAGAATACATCCAATACTTGATCAAATTTCACATAAACAAAACATCTTCTCTAAAACAGTGGATTGAAGAAAAAAAGGTTTGGGGGTACAGACTATTCTTACAGCTACGTGGGACAAATCTTCACAATAATAAAATGTATTGGGAAATCTGTTAACGATCAGGCTCAAACCAAAATATCTTTAGTAAATTGTTTTAATGCCCCCCAAAAACAATCAGATTCAAATGTTCACTAAAATAATGACAACCCAGGAATGAAAGTTTGGGTGGTGATAAATGGACAGATCTCTCCCTGAGAACAAACAGTCAGAAATCAGCTCATCTTTTTTTAAATCACCACCTGACCAAAACACTTTAAGGGGAATTTATCATAACTGGAGCAGACAAAATCTGGAGCAGCTGTGCATGACAACCAATCAGCTTCTCTCTTCCATTTTCAAATCCATACTAAACAAACTGAAGAGAGAAGCTGATTGGTTGCCCTGGGCAATTGCTCCAGATTTTGTCTGGCCCAGTTTTGATAAATTCTCCTCTATGTGCTCTTCATATAGCCCTACAACATGGTTACTCTGATGATAAAAGGTTTGTTTTATGTTCTATGGCAAAAGGGGAACAACTCAGTGGTCTCAGGAATTCGCTAGCAAATCAGAAAAACTCTTTGTAGGATAATGGCCCTATCCACTACAGTCTTTTATTGTTTTTAGGGGCACACAGAACTGCAGGTGAAAGGATATCTCTCCAATGGTGACATAGGCTAAAACAAAAATAGACTTTTAGCAGATTAGAAGTTTGAATAATGTTGTTAGAGTTGTCTCTGTCTTCCTGTCCAGGTGACAACTGCATCTCAGTTTTTGTATGGATGACACAGGAAAAGGAAGTTATGGCAAAGTTCTCAAATGGGGGTGAAGGGTTTAACTCTTCCCCACTCAGTCCAAAACTAAAAATGCAGCAGAAGTTAGGCTTTAATGTTAAAATAAATATTGGTTTTTGTATAGTTTGTAATTAAATATATAAGGTGTTGTCGAAATTCACTTAATACTCTGCTTTCTCTATGTGCCTTGCTAATCCTTTTATATCACTGCAAGTCTACTAGCAGGCCCTGTCTGGTAGAAAATAATAGACTTTCTACAGTCCCTAAGGAAATGAAACATCCACAATTCTCCAAGCAATCAAAGACCATGTGATAGAGGCTACCTAGGTTTTAGGTCATTGGAGGATATTTTTTATTAAAGAAAGAGGTACTTATATATGTAAAATAATTATTATTATAAATTATTTGTATAGTGCCAACAGTGTAAAATCAGGAGAGACATTACATTTACAATACCATGCAAGACAAGATGGTTAGGAAGGCCCTGCTTGTGCAAGCTTACAATTTGAATTGGTAAATTGGTAAACCCCCAATGCAGCCTGATTGTTTTAATTATTTTTTTTGTATAACCTGCCTTAGAAGCGGACTGGTCACTTTGGGGCAAGTGAGAGAGTTCTTTAGTGTCTAAATTCAAAACAGTCCTTCATTTAAAACCTTTGAGAAAAATTGTCCTGTGTTTTTACAGCACAGATTGCATGGCTTAAGAGCCCTCTTTGCACACCTTAAAACTATTAAATAAAAAAATGCACTTAATAGTTTACAAAAATGAAATGCATTATGTAGGGATGATAAATGGAAGCATTTCTGTTCCCTTTATACATGCAAGAAATCAATAACTGTTAGCAATTAATTCCTTCCTTGTGATCATGAACATTTAAAATAAATCAGACTACAAACTCAGTCAAGCTTTCACTAAATTTGAGAACAATGAGGAAACGGAACGTAAAACAATAGCCCCCCTGCTTTCTGTGGGCCTCTGTCTTCTGCATGGTTTGCTCTAGTTGATGAAAACTGACAGGTGTATTGTCTCAGAGAGCTATAAGCTCCATAATCATCAAGGGTGAACGGCATAACGCTATTCCTAAGTAGGTTCAATTGGCTTTAGTTCTAAGTAATGTTGCAGCATGAACACCTTGGATTCAGGTCTCAGGGCTCCAGCAATGAAAGGCTGCTTAATCTAGCCTAAAGGAACGTTTTCCTCTTTTTTTTCTCCACTTACTAACGAAAATTGCTTATAAAATATACCATATCCATTGGTCTTTAATCAAAAGTAATGATATTTTTCATAATATCCTATTAATTTAATTGGTTATGAAGCATAGCATACATCATTTAAATTTAATTGACCCAGAAATTAAGAAACAATATTTAGATTAACTAAGCTGGGAATGTTCATGATGTGTGAGACAGAGGCTGATGGCTTCCCAGAGCTTGATGTTTGATTCAAATTCAGGGTACACACAACATTGGCCTTGCAATTAGGAATAGATTAAGAGCAAGAGGGAGAAAAACAACAAACTGCAGCAGCCTTTTTTTGATGGCAGAACAATAACAGAAAATCAGATTGCGACTGCACAGCTCTGCATTCCTTTAGGGAAGAATAATATTTTCGTTGCTAAATAATACAAAGCAAGATTGTAGCCCACTATTTTCAATCTCTCCCTCGTTCTCTCTAGACTTCACTGGGGCTGCCGCTGAAGATTGCATTAATGATCTCTATTTTTGTATACTGAATGAGTCAAATCCATTTGTCACACTGCAAGTGATGGCATACTTAATTTGGATATAGTCAATTAGCCCAGGCAAAGCTGCACAACCTGCTGTGCACACCTCTATTTTGTATTCTTTTACTTTCCTTTTGCCACACGTAATCCTATTATAAAGGACAGACAAAGAGAAGCAAAGTGGAATTTCAAAGTTTTTCTCGGATGGAATCCTCTATGAAGCTGTGCATTTTTTTTTGCCTAAGTCTGCACTTACTTTGGTTATAAAAGTCCATGTTTGCAATTTGGTGTCTTGGAAGTTAGTGAAGAAGTGTAACTCATGCATCAACTGTGGTTAGGCAGATTTATGACACTATAGGGACATGCTCTTTCCTCTCCTTGCACTGCTGCAGACTGCTTACATTTTGCAAATAAATCTGTTAATGTACAATGTGCAAAGTGGTCTTTGAAACAGACAAACATAAAAAAAATCAGAAGGAAAATACAGAATGCCTGAATTTTCATGGAAAAGGAATGAACAAGCATGGAGCTATGGGCAGGGAGAATACACATTAAGAGAGAAAACACATCAAAATAAGATAAAATCCTAGACAAAGTAGAAACGGCATCCCCCGTTGTACTTACTTCCCCCTTGCTTTGCCATTGGTTAACTAGATGATGGTTACATGTAGTGCCATTGCCCCTCCATGCCCATATTCATGCCCATTCCACTCATAGGTCCTATAAGGGAGATAAAAATCCAAGAAAAGGCCAGCAGATCAGAAAAGTGAACAGAAAGCACCCAAAGACCCTACGTCACACACCATTTGCAAAGAAATCAGGGTAGAGGTAAAGCACCCAGATTGACAGCCATATAATGATTGGCAGACAGATAAAGACATAGTCCAAGACATCAAGGCTCAAATTAAACATTTAACTCTTTGGTTAACACATGCACAAATATGCAATAATACTAAATAAATAAGTAAGGGAAGCACTTAATCTTACCTGGTGCTCTAATTCCCATGTGTTGCTGGCCGTCCATTACAAAACCTCCCATGGGCTGTCCATCAGCATTGTAAGGTGTTCCTTGACTTACTATAAAGTTAAAAAAAACTGTTATGTTCTTATCTCCAAAGGATATAAACACATAGATGAGAATTACATAAAAATAATAAAATAAATAAGAATACTTGACCATGGCAACCAATCAGATTGCTACATGTACTTGTATTTACTATAGGTTTTGAAATTGGAGCGGCTGTGTTCAGATGTTTTGGGCCACATCTGCGCTTTTCCATTTTCCGACATTGTTTCATGCAGTAAAACAACATGGAATAACTGAAATGTTACATTAAAGACTTCCTCGTTTGCAGTTCACATACAACAAGGATCTTTGCATGTTGAAAAGTTGTAACTGACAGAACTTTAGACAAATTAGTAACTAACAAGAAGCCCAACACCATCTTTCCTGACCGGCATGCCATTGTTGTATATGATGTTTGATATCTCTTGCTTGGTATCAAGAGTATACAACACAATTTAGTTAAAACAAGGATTACAGATTTAGAGTTCCCAAAGACACTTAAAATAAGACTCCTGCATTGTATTGCAGGTTTTAGTTGAACACATAGCAAGCGTGCTTTCAAGTAAAATGCCTTAAGCTAAAGATATAAAAAAGATCTACCTCTTTGAACTTTGTTGAAGCCAATAAGTGATACTGACCCTGTTACCCTTTTTACAGGTAATAAAGTTTACAGCATTTCCACACCAAGCCATGCACCAGGGAGTGGTCAAAGTAGCAGAAAGTATAGCTGAGAAGAAAAACTCATTCAAAAAGTTAAAATGTGTAGTAAAAAATTGTGAATTGAACCAATTGTTGCACCACTACACAAATAGTAGAGGACGGATGCCTTGCTTTGTTTTACTCCCGGCATTACTATTATTTACCAGGTATTGGACCTCCCGGTGAATGGCTTGAGGATGGTTTTCGCCTGCGTGACTTGAAAACAGTTACTATGGGAGACTTGCCTGCTCGATTAGACTGATCTATCATAGGCTGGACTATTCTTCTTCTAGCGTTTATAAACCTGGAAAACACACACAAAATACATTGAGTTACTGACATATATCTGGATACATGTGACCTTTCATATAAAAAAACCCCACAAATGCTTAAAGGACTTTATATGATATTGCAAAGCACAATGTGCAAAGTACAAGGAACAACTCTTTGTAACCAATCACAAATTCTCTGTTATTAGTCTGATTATTTTAAATGCTGAAAGCATAAACCTGATCAGCTAAGCTGGGCATGCAGACTGAACGAGAAAAAAAAACGCTTGTTTTCCCCATCCACGCTAAACACAATATGGATGGGGAACTCTCCTCTGTCCGGCCACGGTATTCTGACAGCAGAGGCATTCCACTGTCAGATTACCCAAACAGTAACTGCAGTTGATTGGCAGTCACTGTTTGGCAGACAATTTTCAGACTGGCTCCATCGACGAAATTCGATTGAACAATTGACTTTTGTCGAAAGAAGGGGGGCCGACAGGGCCACACACTGCTTGAATTTTGAGTAGTGTATGGCCAGCTTTACTCCAGATTACTCCACTATGTTTTCCTTTCTACTGTGTTGCAAATGGGAACAAAGGTGCTAGCACTGAGGTCTTAGCAGACAACAGAACTACTGTAGTTCAGTCAAATGTTCTACAAGTAGATACACTTTCTTTGAAACCCACCTAACCCCTGATGACCTCCTGAACTGATTTATGTTTCCCTGCTTTTACCGCATTTGGACTTTTCCATTTAAGCACTACATGAGGGAATTAGTCAGGTTTGCTGAAAAACAATATGTGTGCCACTCCACTTCTAATTCTATGGGGGAAAGTAATTGCAAAATGCCTGGAAGGGTGAAGTCTAATACAATAAGTCTAGCATGGCTAGCTTTTGTTTTGTGGCTTCTTCACAACTTTTAATAAAATCCTCCCTTTTCCTTTGGAGTTTAATTCTATTTTAATGCCCACTATTAAGATAATGAACTGTGGTGGCAGTATACCATCAAATGAGGGAACGTCTGGATTTTTATCACCACACACTGCTGGGGAGTTCAGAACAAGGCATTACACTTATAGGGTTTTTTTTTTTTGGCTTATTGAAAGAGTGGGGTCAAGGCAAGGTCAATGCCACAGTGCATTTTCTCATATAATCCTATTTACTTCAGAAATCATTAAAGGTCAAAAAATACATGGTCAACTCACTGACCAGCTAAAATTACAGTATTGTATCAAAAGTATAAATATTGCACTTTTATTTTCTGTAAAACATTTAAAAAGGTAATATTTTTCCTTTCTAGTAGAAATGGCAATCTTAAAATCACATGACTTCATTGTGGTAATACACTTCAGCAAACATACTTTTCAAGTGTGCACTGAAACTCTGGACTTGTAATTATGACAGTAAGCAGAAACAGTAGATATGCTATTATTGGTGATATATACTGATTTTCAACGCTCTAAGAACTATTGAAATCATAAAATACAACAAAAAAGTAATAAATGTGAAAATATATGAAAAATATGGGTACACAGGAAGTGAGCAGACATAAAGTACCTTATTGCTTAATGTTAACAAGCTTCACAAGGCAAAGATGCCAGAGGAATATGGGAATCAAAATCCCCCCTCCCCATAGCCAATTGTCTACCAAAATGTATTAAATAAAGTTTAATTGGGTAATCAAGGAAGAGAACATAATCAAAAACATTAAAAAATAAAATAAAATGGCATAAATGTTATAAAAAAAAGAAATAAACAAATCTATTGTAATGAAAAGCCTCTTTGACCTTCAGTTTAGAGTGCATGTATCCCACCCTTTGTGACACACACAAATTTCTGAATGCTTCCCCTGGCAGGAGGTCTCAGCATAAACACTTTCCCGTGGCCTTCTCAGACTAAGGTCCACTTGCCATTGTTCCTTAGCCGCAGTTCCACAGGGATCGGTATGTGGTGCAACTGTCTGCCTGTTTAACTCTCATTCATTAGAAATGGCAAATTAAAGACAGGCTGTAGGTTCCAAGAGTGTGAAAAAACACTACATTTTACTGAACATGTATGCACAAGTGGGCATATTTAGATTTGCATAAAAATAAAAAAACATATAAGAAATATTATTAACGGTATAATATTTTTAAAGATTTTGGCAGCTATTCAAAGTTTAAAGGATCCACTTTGCCTGCTAGTCTTGTGAACACATTTACTTTTTTTTCTTTCTTCAAAACAGTCATTTCTTTGTGTGCCTTAAGGGTGCATTCACATGCAAGAGACTGTAACTTTTCCTTCTGGGTAGTAATAAAATGGCATTCTTGCTCCTCCCCAAAGAAGTCAAACTAAGGTCAGCATCCCATCCTTATATCTGTTTAAATAAACTGGTCCAGCTGTTTGTTTCCAAAATGGCCTTTGACCTTTTCTCTCATCCCTTCAGAAAGCTTTTGCCATGCACAACAGTTGTGGTTTATAACAATAAATAGTTTGAAACCTCTACAAATGTGGCTGCAGCACTTACTGCTAATCAGTTATTTCAAGAAAGCCATCTAATAAAAAAAAAAACATCTACTGAATACACTGCTAAAGGAATACAAAAAAAGTGGTTTTAATTTCTCTGGATAGATGTCATGAGGTTGATTTACTAAAGGCGAATATACTCTTCACTTTGCAAGGGAATTTTCCCTTAGCTTAGTCAATGTGGTGAAAAATCGCTTTGCAGAGAATACCCAATCACATACAAGAACATTTTTTTTTTAAAACAGAATTTTTGCTCGCACAAGATTGGATGATGGAAGTCAGCAGGTTATTCACTAAGCTAAGTCAAATTTCCCTTGCAAAGTGAAAATTCCCTTGCATTATGAGCAGCCTATTTGTCTTTAGTAAATCAACCCCAAGTCTGCTATTTTAGCTTGAGGTCTAGGTTTACCTACCAAGCACTTAATGTACACCTTCGTGATGACAGAAAGTGGGAATATGTAGTAGATATATGGTATATGTACAAAAATATGATAATTCTTCACAGTTATGTTGAATTTTTAAAATCTTGAATAAGCAACTAATATGCAACAAGATACCTCTGCAGCAGTGTTCTGATGTTTTAAAAAATTCATGCACTTTTGTATGTAAATAATCCTGAATCCCGATTTTAGTATATTTCAGTATAATGTCTGAGTGGTTAACACCTCTGCCTTGCAGCACTGCAATCTAATTCCCAACACAGCATTTTATTTATACCTTTTGGAAGGTTTTATCTCTTTATGGAGGGGCAGGAGTTTTTTTTAATGCCCTGCTTTCCTCGAACAATCACAAAGTAGGGGAAGAATAATGGTCTTTGAGCCTCATGACATTAAGCCGCATTCAGCATAAATGTATTCTACCCAATATATTTTCATTGTATTACCTTTATAAGGTAGATAAAACATAAAATATAGTGATTAACATTGTGTGTTCATAGCTAATGTTTATAAAGTTAATTAGATGTGTTTGAAACCACAGTGATGCATTTTGGAATAAAAAAAATACCAGCTTTTAAATTGAAGTTTCATAAGACTTTGAGAATTTTAACATTCTATCTGTTCAAGAACTTTTCCAGTAGAGCAACACTGTGTAAATTACACTCTAATGTTAATTAGTTAATGTGCAGAGCACTTTCAAACAAGTGTCATTTGCCTTAAAATTTCTTTAAAACTGCTACCACAGCTTTCCCTTAATTAAATGTCATAACATAAAAATGTTTTAGCTTTTATTGCATTGAAACAACTAATTATCTTTATGATCATCATACTTTATTCTCATGCAGTGCCTCGATTATGTGCAATGGTGAATTTTCCAGATTAATACAGCCTTTGAAAACATTACATATTTACAGCACAATGTGTATTAGATGGAACTAATAAATACAGTTTGGTACATTGATGTAAAGGAACAAATATTTCATGGTGTTTTTAAGCTGTTTGAAATTGGTGTTAATTTCTATTGTGCCAAAACAGTATCTGATATAAAATATTGGTACATTCAAAAGTGAACTTGACTTTTTTTTATATCAGGCAATCATCATTCTGGCATTAGGGAGGTAAGTATGTGTGTAAATTACACTCTACTTTAGGGTTGGATTTTTACATAGCACTACATAGGGCATTAGCCTATGGTGGCAGGACTGCCAATAGTGGCACACAGCAACCTACACATGTCAGTAACAAATTCCAATGTGCAGAGGAAGTTATTATTATTATTATTTATTATTATTATTATTTACAGGATTTATATAGCGCCAACAGTTTGCAGAGCGCTTTACAATATAAGGAAGACATTACAATCACAATACAATTCAAGACAAGATGGTAAGGAGGGCCCTGCCCGTGAGGGCTTACAATTTAGAAGTTCCCATACTACTGTTCCCCATTCCAGTCTAATCTGGCTTCATCCTCACTGTGGTTGCCCTTGCAAAGTTTGTGCATGTTTGGTGTTACAGTAGTATACTATGTACACACAGGTTGCTCCCTCTGATTGGTACACCTGGACTGCCAGCAGAGTATGGTGGAAGTCTGCTCAGCTCTTCTAGTCATTGGTCCTGTATGTACTTCTTTAGAGTGGGCATAACGGTTAGCGAAACGATTGTGGTAGAATGGGAGGGGTGAGGAGAGGCACAGAACAAGTGGTCTATGAAGACAGGAAGTATAAATCCAGCACTGAATCTATTTATTGTCTTCAATCAAACAATCTATCACTATAGAGTTCTGTAGTATGGCAACCCGACCCTGATGTAAATTCACACCTTATGAGTTCAATTATATCACTATAGTTGACTATGAGTAAATGAATAACCTTTAGTTTTGAAAAGCTGCTTTGAGTTTTGAAGTTTTCAAGGGGAAATTTTTTTTGTTATAGAGGAGACAAAACATGGAAAAGTCTTAATAAGCCTGCAATATTTTCCTGTCATGGTAAATAACTCTCTATCTATAGAACCCTTCCCCTCCTTAAAGTGCAATCACTGTGACAAAGTGGTTTATTGATATTAGATCACCATAATTAACAATCTCCATTT